TGACTTACTTATGATAAACTGCAATAAACTATAACATCGAAGCTACTTTATTCTGTTGACACAATAAGAGTAATGCAAGGTAATCAGTAAACCAGCAGTGTCATTAAAAAGCCTGAGCTACAACAAAGACATAACAGAATGAACTAATAATTAGCCATAGAAGTTAATGATTCAACCCTCTATAGCTCAAATCGTGTTGTATTGCAACAAAAATACCCCAAATCTCCACACATTTACAAAGAAAATGAACCCATGTTAAATATTGAGCTCAAAATATACTGTTCGAGCTTTTGTGTGTTGAACGATCACTCAACATAGTAATTATTCTGACAGGCCTAATTATATGCCCAGTCCATTTTCTAATATTGTGAGCTGAACTTTTTCTTTGGGAAAACTGCAAAACAAGCAGTAACTATTGAATGGTAGTCTCTTATCTCATTTGCGTATTTCAGTCTACGTAGGTTTGTGTGATTGATCGTTTTGTTGTTTAACTGGTAACTATAATTCAGTTGTTACACAAGTTTTACGAGTACAATTTTTAAGCAGGTTAAGTCTGATAATTACTGTTTTGATTTATCAAATATAATCAATATGAAAAATGGAACAATCATCAATAACTTAACTAATCTAGATGTTTTATGTAACTGTTGTTTGTACTATTAACCTTATTCCGTAAGTTTCTGTGGGCACCGGCATCATGATTCAGGTTGTATTATTTTGTACGAGGCTGCCGATCTTTACAGCAAATAAGTTAAATACGGACAATAAAGCTGTTTTAATGCCCCCAGAGAATCAGTGCAGTGTTTTTTGTGACCAACAGCTAAGCGGCCTGCTCCATAGAAATTAAATCCAAAAAATCTTTGTACCAATTGTCTATGTCAAAGCACTTATATTTATGTTCCTTCCAGTTCATCATAATAATACGTTTAGCTGATAAAAAAAAACAGTGATAGTATGTGATCCAATTTTTGGGATGAAAAGTCTTGAGTTCTTATCTTTCTTAGAATCAGTGCAGTGTTGACTTGTTGATGCACATGAAAATTTAACATTTTACACAAACGAACCAACTTCATGTCGTATTTAAAATGCAAAATGTTTCCCAAATTTTCCATTGACATGAATGGATTTCCCGTTTAACCAGAAGTGTTAGCATTTAGAATTTAGAGACTACAGTGGGCGGGGTGGATTGAGGTGGATAAAGATCTACTAAACAGCTAGTAGGCGTAATTAAGAGTTCAGAAACATTTTCTTGAAGATCAGATCCAATTGATACTTTGCAGGTGATGCCATCAACATTCATTGGGGGTGTGAAGCCAACTGAAAACACTACTTCGTCTGAAGCTCTGTCACTCAAATTGAATTTAATCAAAGCTTTATTTTAACACAATTTGACCGGACAGAGCTAACTTGGCAGGAACTAGTTTTCAGTTTGTCATGCTCACCTTTTTGTTGAAAATAAAACACCTAAACACAGGCTGTTGAAAATGTGTTGTTTAAATCTATTGTATGCTTTTTCTTGAGTTTGCAGACTATATTAAACCCTTTTTTGTGTGCATTATGTCTCCATGGTAACTGCTACGTGAATCTCTAACGGTGGAAAGTATAGAACACCCCCAGCATGATGTCACTGCAATGTGTGTATACCTCTAATAGTATAGTGTATAGTAAACACGCAGAAATGGGTTCATAGAAACTGATCATTTTATTTAGGTCCTAACATTATATTTTAAACATCGCACGATTGTTTATGACCTGGATTCTTCCTTTATTTAAAAAAACAAACAAACAAAAATATTTTGTTGTTATAGCCCTTTTATTCTGTCCAGATATTTATTGTCCCATATTATGTTTTTTTTTTTCTGATCTTATATTGTTGTTTTATCACCACAAACATACCTGGAGTTGTGTTTTGTTTCTTTCACACCTGCATATTTTGGCTGAGTTATTCTCTCAAACAGAAAACACCAACTTGTGATGTCATGTTGAGTCATTAAATACGTCACAATAGACTATTTTGTAAATATACATCAAAACATTGTATTTGTAGTGACAAGAGATACTGCAGTACCCAGAGGAAAAATAAAGGACAAATATTACGCAATTTTATGATCTTTATTATAATGTTTCCTCATCACAAACATACCTGGAGTTGTGTTTTGTTTCATACACACATGTTTAACACACAAATCCTGCATATTTAGGCTGAGTTCTTCTCTCTGACAGAAAACTCCACCACCTTCAACCTTGGGAAGTGCTCTATTGTGTTTTTAAACTTCATAGACAAACCATTCACTAGAACCATTTGGATCATTTCAACCCTGGAATTGTCCATCTCTACTGAACAAAAGGTAAAGGTAAATGTTAACTTAAAAACTACAACTATGACATCACAAGTTGGAACAGAGCTTTGGAGATGTAAACAGACTAATAATGCAGGATTACTCATATGTCTAAATCAAACAAAACACAATTCCGGGTATGGTTTAAAGGAAGTAGCAGCATTAAAACATGGCTAAAAGCTCACAGGAGTCAAATGTTATACTTAAAATAATTTATTTGTAACATCATATACAAATGAGTGGCATTAACAGCTGGTAGACGAGCTGAGGAGTCATGGATGGGGGAAGGTTTGGTCAGTGTCAGTTCTCCTAGATATTCATAAGGCTCTTCACTTGTATTCTCTCTGTGAATAATTAGCTGTAATTGCTGTAGATACCTGTGCTTTTGTATAAGCTACATGTTGCTATGAAACTGCAGAGATGTGCTCGAAAACAAATGACTAATCTGGTGTATTTTAACGAATCAATACTCCTTCTTTTGTATACATAAAGCTGAGGCAATGTAAAGAACACAAACGTTACATAACAGAATTTACTATAGAGAATAATTGATCTTTTTGTGTACAAAGATTGTGTACAGTATGTGCAGGAGCAGTGGGTACGTTTATATGGCCAGAAAAAAATTTAACTAACTTAATTTAACTAAAATAAAGCATATCTTAACCCAGTATTTAAGGTCAATGAGTATAACCTTTTTTAGCTGAACAAAAAAAGGCTCATATTACAATATTTTCTGATCTGTTATAATGTTTCCTCATCAAGAACATACCTGGATGTGTGATTGTGTATGTGTATGTGTGATTGTGTTTTGACATATGTTTAATACACAAACTCTGTGTTCTTCTCTCAAACAGAAAACACTTTTTTCGACCTTGTCATGTCATGGTGGTTATACAGGAAGTGTTTTTAAACTCCATACACCTTCACTAGAATCATTTGGATCATACTACCACTTTGTGACATCTCAAGGTGGAACAGAGCATTGTGAGCTTTGGAGATAAAGACTGAATATTAGTAAAGGATTACTCAAACATGTTTGAATGAATCCAAACAAGCAAACCAAACAAACATGGAGTTGTGTTTGGTTTCATGATGAAACCAAACACAACTCCATGTTTGCTTTTGAGGAGGTAACAGCATTAGAACATGGCTTAAAGCTCACAATAGTCAATTTTGTATAATGGGACTTTGTGTGTTTACTAGGGGTGTGCAAAAATATTGAAATATCACTATATCGTATAATTTAATGCGATGATACAGTATCGATATCGGGGACTGCTGTATCAATATATTGAGTATTTGTTTGGTGTACTTTACAAAATTATTTTGTTACAGGGCTACAGTTTGTTGCTTGTTTAGAGGAAGGAAACTTGTTTTTTTGCAACACATTTGACATTAACACATTTTCAGATAAAATTTGCATGTTTCATATGAACTTTACACAAGAAGTGAATTAACAAAGACTTTTAGCAATACAGCCATGATTTCACATTATCTTTTATTGAACTTGATCGAATGATTTGAAATACAGTAAATTGTATGGAACTGAAAGTGCACTGTATTGAGATATGTAATGTATCTTGGCCTTTGTTGGCATCGCCAGCTTCTTAATGATATCCAGCCTTAGTGTTTACATGTACAAAAGAAATTTGATAAATCAAAAATAGTGATTTAAATTTTTTAAAGATATATTTTATATATACAACTTGTAAAGTGCTTCAATATTTAACATTTTCTTGTTAATTTTTCTCTTTACCTCTTTAGTTTGCCCTTTTTTTGCACAAATCTCCTCAAAAAGCAAAAAAAAGCAAAAACAAAAAACAGCACCAGTGTTTGAATGATCAGAAAGAATCAGATTACTCACATCAGATATAACTGTTTCAATGACATTTCAGTAATCTCTTTACTCTAGAAATCAGATAATGATCAAATTTGTAGTGTCTATGTGTGTACCTATGTGTACGTGAGCCACTGGTGCAGCTACTTGCAGAATTTGCTAGAACTAGACAAAAATACTTATTAATCAGAAATGGGAAGGGTATTTAGGGTATTTAGTTACTGGGCATTGAATACCTGAATAACTACTGTATGTTGTAATGTATTCTGATACATGGACAAATCAGAATATTGTATTCTAAATACTTGGAATACTTTTACATCTAGTTGCAATTACATGATGGTGTAAAATGCAACATAGGATTAAAAACAGCTTTGTATTAATTTCAGCATTTGTCATGCATTTATTTATCACTGATCAGCGAAGGAAAAATCACATGACAAAAACAGTGTTCTATATATTTTTTCCTCTTTAATTCTGTGCAGTTTGAAGCCTAAATGTTCAATGTATCCCTTAGATTTTTAGAAAAGTAACTGTGTTCTGAAAATCACCAGATTAAATTGTAACTGTACTTGTACATATAATACTGTATTCTGTATATGTATTCTCAGTACATGTATTCAGTTACTTCCCAACACTGTTCTTAATACTGCTAGTACTTTTTATCTACTAAAACATGTTACTCTTATGAGGAAATCGCAAGTCATACTCAAGGAGATACCTTATCTCATGCACAGTTTTGTCCCAGTAGAAACTGTTCCAGTAGATTTGACATTGCTCTGTGGAGTAAAGTGACAAAGTGTAATTTCATCTTTGATATGTTTTTAGTTGGTCTCACTTGTCACCAAAATAGGGGAAGGAAACCGAACAAGCTTGACAAACCAGTCTGTTTGCATAGCTCATCATTATACAAGGAAAGAACCAAACTGTGGCTTTTATTAGTTTGAAACAGCAGCACAGCAGAGAACAACTTTGACGACCTTTACAAGTGGAATATTATGAATGTTATCACTTTTCTTATCATTTCTTTATTGTTCCTTGACTTGAAACCTGAGTGTGCTTGTGTGTGTGTCTGCACTTGTTGCGCATAACAGCACCACCCTCTCTACTGCTATAGGACTGCTCACCGTTCAAGGTTCAGAGAGATAACTAGGAGGTGAGTGGCTGACGCAGGCTCAGTGTTGAATTACAACTGCCTCATATCATATTACAGAGACTCCAGGTTAGTCTGAAACCATAGCTCTTGAAATCTCGAGCCTCGGACCAAAGCAGGAACTAAAAGGGGACAAAGGAGGACTTATTTTTTTGCTTGAGAAGTTGAATTCTAACACGCTGCTTCCTGGTTGTTTTTTTACAGAAAAGCGTTACCATGGGTAGTGGGAAGACGCAACTGTTTTTATGTCTCCTGCTCGGCTGCCTGTTTCAATGCTCGGCTGGGTTTGTGTTTTGGACTGCCGTGGTGGAAATTAGCTACCTCAACAGCCACAATGAGACTACAGACAAGTACTGCGAGTGCGGGGTGTTTGGACGAAACGCTGCCGTAGAAAGGGCACACGGTATCGTCACTTTGCCCAGAGGAGATCCGAAAGGGTGCGGGCCAGATCCAGTTTACAACCGAAACGCCAGCTCTCCGGCTTGGATCGCCTTGGTGAAACGGGGAAACTGCACCTTCAGTGAGAAAATCCAAGCAGCTACACGTCAAGGAGCATCCGCTGTCGTGATCTACAATTTTGACGGCAGCGGGAACACGACCACGCACATGTCCCATCCAGAAACCACCGGCGCTGTGGCCATCATGGTCGGGAATCTTCAAGGTATGGAGATTGTGAAATTGCTTCAAAACGGCACTGAAGTTCTAATGCTAATTGAAGTCGGTAGCCCGCATGGACCTTGGATGGACACTTACTGGCTCTACTTCTTGTCTATTGCTTTCTTTATCGTCACGACGGCTTCGATTGGGTATTTCGTGTTTATCTCCGCTAACCGTTTGTACAGCTTACGAATGCACAGGCGAGCTGAGCGAAGACTGAAATCCGAAGCTAAAAAGGCCATCCAACGCCTGCAAGTGCGCACCCTAAAACGCGGCGATGAGGAGACCACGTCGGAGATCCTGCTGTGCGCGGTTTGCATCGAATCGTACAAAGTCGGCGACGTGGTTACCGTGCTTACATGCGATCACATCTTCCACAAAGCGTGCATCGAGCCGTGGTTGCTGGAAAAAAGAACCTGCCCGATGTGCAAGTGCGATATTCTCAAAGCCCTAGGAGTGGAGGAGGAATGTAAAGACGCTTTTAACCACAACTCGCCACCAGAGGTCACTGTGATAACCGTGGCGGGAGGAGAGGCGATGTATGAAGTCCCCCTAACAGACGCAGCTAGCCCACAGCACTATGACAACAGAGCCTTTGAGGAGGAACCGTCCAGGGGATAGTTAGCGAGCAGAGGAAACAAAACAAAACAACAACCAGCTATAAAGACTGTGGAGATTTTATGGTTTGAATAAGACTCAAAAAATGGGACTAAAACACCAGTCAAAAACATAAAAAATTGAAAAGTAGCTGAAATGTGACTGTATGTTGATGAAATGGGACATAATGAGTGAGATATTTTAAGCATTTATTTTAACTACTGATTTTACTTTGCAGAGAAATACACAACTACCAAAACACAATCTCTAAACTGAATAAATGTAGCAAAATATTTCACGCTATTCACAGTTTAAGTTGAAATGAATGGACTTTTCTATTCTATTGTTAAACACTGATGTAGGGTTAAACCAGGACTGCACAATCTATGCACTCATCCAGAACTACTTTGAATATTTTACCTAATATGGAAATGACCTGTTAAAGAATGCACTATTATGTAGCATGTACCTCACTGGGACCAAAATGTAATAGTAAAGATTGTTTAGTAATACGAATTTGACTTGATTTGTTTTGGTTTTCAGTTAAAAATATTGAGTTACCCATTACTTATTCATGGTTATATGTTCAAGTTTATATGCAGCATTTTGAGGACTTTTTCCCATTGAAAAGACAATATTTTGTTCTTAAATTATGTTATGTTCTTAATTGCTATGGCAACAGTCCTAATTTCTCATTATTTTAAAACCAGTGGATACATGTCATACCGTACATGCAGTTCTCTGTGATAAGATGACAGAATAAATAGAATACTTTCTGTCATGTACTGTGCAGTCCTGGCTTTTCCCTGTTCCTTGTTGTGAGTACAAACATGGGGTGTGTTCATAGTCGAGCTCGTCCGACCCGCTTGAGGCAAGTGTGCCCTGGATGCTGCGTGGTTTCGCATATCTGTTTTGCATCTAGGGCCTTGGTTAGCTACTTCGGTCATTCTGCAGTGAAAGCTCCTGTACCTGTCTGAAGACTTGCAAAACATAACCAAAACAGCTTAGAAGATTTGCCTCCCAGTCACTTAAACTCACACCGTATGAGACTGAGTCATTTATGGTGTGCTTGTACTTGTATTAAAGTAGGGAAGCATTCACGCCCTGCTTATGAACACACCTCAGACTGGAAAAACTACATTGCACTATGAACTAACCTCGAGGGCTGAAATCTTGACAGCAACGTGACCAAACGTGATTCTTGGTTTTAGAGCTCGAGGTTCTTTTGGGAATTATGCAGTGCCTTGACTTGAGGAATTGAATCTTCTCATGACTCAAAACTACCAAGGCTATGTTCACATTTACAGGATTTAATGCCTTTAATTATTTGTTTAGAATTCTTGAGTGTGTTATAGATAAGTCAAAAGTATACGAATCAATAATAAAACTACTATCAAAACGTGATACGTTGAGCAGGTATCGATACTGAAAAACAATAACACAATTTGAACTTTACTTGAACAATTTTCGAATGATCTTAGGACCACAAGGTGACATATAGAAAACATAATTATTTTCAGTTGATAATTACTTTCTATAGTCTAAAAAATAAGTGTTTTTATTATTATTGTACTATCAAAATGTGTATATAGTATCAAGCTTATTTCTTAGTATCAAAATCAAGTTGGATTTTTTTTGTATCATGACAACTCTAGTTTGCAGTGGAGTTGTCACAATATGAACAATTCACACTTGATTTTTGATACCATTATGTTAATAAAAACATAATTTTTTTGCAATAGAATGCAATTTTCCACATAAAATAGAAGTATTTTTTTAAATATTACCACGTGGTCTTATACTAGTTGTGAAATAGACCAAGATCATTAAAACTTATAAGGGAAAATTTATTGATACCTGCTAAATTAAGTATCTAGTTTTAATTGTAATTTAATATTGATTACTACCTGGGACGGACATGTCTTGGAGACCCTTGCCTTAACTAGACCCAAAGATTGTAAGCTAGACAAGAGCGAACTTACTGTACATCCTGGTTGGTATCGTGCCTATGCAGAGTCATGGTATCTGTGATTATTTGTTTATTCAAAAGACATTCAACTTCAGCTTCGTAGAACTGAAAGAACACTGCTTGTTTTGTAATCTGCTTTTACTATGTTCATTCGTTTAAAAAATCATCTCCTTTGTCAAACATGGACAATAAATATTCACAATCTTGCGCAATATCAATATATTAATATCAGTTTGATCTGTGCTATTCTTCATTGTGAAATGAAATTGTGTTATTGTGAACATGCCCATTTGATTTTATTATTATTTCTGGAACATTCCAGCAGTTGACTGTCATAGGAGGAGCACTGATGGACCAAGAATAATGACTCATAGACTCGTCTTGATCCTCACACTGATAATTTTATCAATCACTTGTAAATATTCTTGTTGTGTACATAAACCTTTGTTTTTTTGCTGCTCGATTGCACTCGCCACAGTCTCAACAGGTCTTCCATGTTTGTAGTTCTGAATTATTTGAAGTTTCTTAAATCTCCAGTCTACCTCTACAAGCTCTCACAAAGAAATGGGATCCTCTGTCCTTCCTTCTGTGTTTTTGCTTGCAGGGTAAAAGCTGATCGTTGTGCATATATTTTTCTACACTGATTGAGTCTCATGATATGGTTCTGAGGAGTCTTGTGCTGCTCTGTACAAATGAATGTCGGATATTGTATGAAATCACATTGATGCTTATTAGAATGCAATAAATTCCTCAAAATGAGGCAGACTTTGAAAATATTGTCTCTCCTGACATATTCTTTGTTATTGTATTATATAGTGCAACAGAAAAGAACTATACCACCAACTCAACAACTCTAAAGCAGGATAATCCTAAAATTCCTATCCTCTAGTTTATGTTTAGTTTATTTATTTTTGTCAGGGACCATGTACATGTTTAATAATATTACCAGACTTTGATATTGCTATGTTCAATTTGCAGTTACTGGGAAAATGCACATAACACTGAAAATCGCACCTTACATTATAATTACATTCTTATACTGACATAGCTCATTAAATGGCACAATGCACAATGAAATGCTTAAAGATGGACTGTGTACATTTTCTAATGGAGCGTCTTGCCATTCTTCAGCAAGATGTCCCACAGTATGGCATTAAACTTATCTAAGGGCCTATTTACACATGAACGCTTGTGGGTAAAAACGACTAAATATTTTATCGGAAGTGCCTTTCATTTAGACGGTGACGGCGTTTTTGGGGCTTAAAAACGCAAAAATCTGAAACCATCCTCCAGAGTGGAAAAGTTGAATATGCTCCACCTTAGAGTTTCTGTCTACACTGAACCCGGACGCAAAACTCTGGTCAGATCTGCTCATGTCGCGCATGTGTTTACGTCACATACATCACCACCTAGCGTCACCATTGAGCGGCCTGGCATGCACGCCCAATCGAATTAAACACAATTTTGCATCATCATATGGACACAGATTTCCTCCTGAAAACGCTCGTCTAAAGGCGTCTTCTGTTCAGACCGTCATCATATAAATGTAGCCTAAACGTAGCCTAAGTTACTTAGTTAGTTAAGGTCAGATCTGTGGAGAAATGAGCCTACTCACAGTACAGATGGTTTTCAATGTGTTTCTAAGCAATAAAAACACCTGTAATTGAATCAGTTAACATTCTTGTGTGATAAACTATAACATCTCCACAAGACAAAGAAATCACAGACCCTTCACCAGAAAAGTTACACATTGCACCTTTAATTGTCTGTAACTAGTCATAAGTATTTATTCTATCCTTTACAGCTTGAATCTTATTAAAATCCAATTACAAAAAAATTTACTAAAAAAAAATCCTGCAACTGCAAAAAGAACACATGATAAATATTGAGACAAATAGTTCTTTCTTCATGTATTGCACTGTGAGTCTAAACTGTTGTGACAGGCCTGTTTGTTGGTGGTTCATTTGTGTTCATGTTACTTCATTTAAAAGGACTCGGCATTGACAAAGGCAGGTGTCAGACATGTGGCAAAGTATTTCAAATATTTTAGTCCCTGACGTGTTTGGATCTGACTCTCTGAGCAGCTGAAAATCACTCTCTGCTTTAGGGCTGTAGTGGGTCAGATAATTACTCCAGCAAGTCAGTCGGTTTAGTATTGTATATGTTAGATGGAGGAATAATTTTTAGACATGCACCGATACAATACTGTAATCAGATATTAGCTCCGATATCAAAAATTGTGATGAACTGGATATTGGTTCTGTTGGTATCGGGTCAGTTGATATCCTATTTTGGTCTATACATTTGTGTAATAAGAAGATTTACTGGACTATGTTGGCCTAGACACCTCATAATATTTCTAAAAGTTGTTCTGTATTTACTTACAATAATAAATAACAGTTACAAAACACATTTGGATATATATATATATTTTTTACCATACGCTGTGTGTTTAAAGGAAATAAATTATAGTTTACAGTTTATAGTTACATTATTTAATGATAGTTACATTATTTTGTTTCCACCCTAGTATCAGTTGATACTAAGCAAGGATCAGTATTGGAACAAACAAAGCTGGATCAGTGCATCCCGTATAATTTTGGGGGTCAATTTCAACTGTGGATGCTTTTTATTACTACTAATGGGGAACTTTTTTTATTTTTTATTTTTCTGTACTATGAAAATATTTGAGCTGTAAAGGCTCAGAAATGTAAGTCATCACACGACTCACCACAGATACAAACTAACTACTAAAGTGTTTAAAGGGACAGTCTGGAGTTTTAGACATAGGACCTCATTTGCTAGTGAACCAGAGTGTTGGAGACGTGTGGAGACACTTTTAAAAATATTCCAGCCAGGTCCAGCCATTTGCAGAGGTCGCTGGTGCTAGGCTAGTGCATGTCAATGGCCATAGTTATCCTGCCACTAAAAACAGTCTTACCCACTCCACAAAACACCTGAAGCAAATCTATTATTACGCCAGACTGTCGATGTGAATGTTTGTGTCGATAGAATGATTTTAGAAGTTAAATCAACCTCCTTGCATTTGAAGGATTTATGTCTGAGCAGCAGCAGTGAGTTGTACTTCCCGACAGAAAGGCGGACTGATATCACCTGGCACCTATCTTATCGGTAATGTGAGAAAATAGTTCCTCGACATGCGACAATTCATGCGATGCAAGGTTAGTTTTATTTCAAACATTATTCTATCAACATAGACATTTATATCGACAGCCTGGTGTAATAATAAATTTGTTTTGGGTGTTTTGTGGAGTGGGTAAAACTGTTTTTAGTAGCAGGCTAACTATGACCATTGACATGCACTAGCCTAGCACCAGCGACCTCTGCAAATACAAGGACTGGATGGAATATTTTAAAAAAGTGTCTCCACACGTCTCCAACACTCTGGATGTCATTTCCTAGTTAGCCAATGTCCAAAATTCCAGACTGTCCTGCTATTTATTTGTTTGACTTTAGAATTATTCTGTCAATGGCATAAATTAATTTCAATATTATCATTTATCGTCTATATTTTCTTCAGCGATATATATCATATACTTCAAAATCTGACAGGGCTAGATTCAGAGAAATTAAACACACCCAGATAAGGAACAGCTAGTACAGTGTGTTATAATCACACCTGAGAAATAATTATGTTTCCTGATACTGGGTCAGTGATGTGCAAAGTCATTGTTTTTTATTACTCACGGCAAAGCAAGGTCACCATTGTGTTGGAGAACTAAGAGTCTTTTGAAAGTATCAACACCACACCTTCATGTATTTATGTGCAATTATCACTAATTTTTGTGTTTTGTTGCATTTTAATTCAATTATTCATATTCATATTCACTCTGATTTATGTTATAATGTTGTTTCCTCATCAAAAACATGCCTGAGTTGTGTTTTGTTTCATTCACACTTTTAACGCACAAGCCCTGCATATTTGGACTTGGTTATTCTCTCAAACAGAAAACACAGCCACCTTGTGATGTCATGTGGTAATACAGGAAGTGCTCCATTGTGTTTTTAAACTATTTTCAGCCCTGGAATTGCCAGTCTCCACTGATCTAAAGGTAAAAGGAAGCTGTGAATGAAACAAAATGCAACTCCAGGTATGTTATAACAGCTTAAAGCACAACAGTAAATTCTGAGTTATCTAGAACCTTTAGACAAAAAAAGTGAGGATAACTGGATTAACTGCATTCCCTTTTCCCTAAGATGAGCTGTGTATGCACTAAGCAGCTGAAAAGGTTATCTTAAAACTCCACTATATAAGTTAAAAAAAAAGGTTAAAGCATGTTTTGTTATTGCACAAAAAACAACATGTGTGAGCAGGCTTGCATCACCAGAAACCTGATGCTTTGCCTGTAATATTCCACAGTATGGCATTAAAAGTATTCACATAATGTCAAAGGCTGAGGTACAGGTCTGATCTGTGGAGCAATGTCATTGTTTATTACTCATCGCAAAACAAGTTCATTGTGTTTCAGAACTCATAGTCTTATGAACGTGTATCACCACACCCTCATGTATTTAGAACCTATTTTTGGCATTCTTCCATGTGTTTATGTTACATGTAAAAATAGGTCATTCACTCCTCAGTTACACCTTTGTGTTCTCTGTGCCTTGGGGCAGGGTGACAGAAAGGTGGCTGCTATTATGTGTCTGAGCCACAATCACCTAATTGTACAATACAGACATTAAAAATATGAGTGAGGAGAACTGGATTTGACTCCTGTATTCTCCACTATGTAACTTTTTCAGCCAAAAATAGGTTAGAATAAAAGGATGTGTGTTTTTTATGTTTTATTGTACAAAAACATGTATGAGCAGGCTGGTCTGCGTTTCTCCATGGAAATGTTGTTCATTTGGTTATAATAATAATAATAGTATGGTATAAAACATTAGCCTGATTTTTCAGCTTCACTTTCACTTCGTGGAAACTGTCTGACCTCGCAGTGTTTGGATTCGTTCGCTTGATGTTAGGTGAGTACTTTTTTTATTTAACCAATCGCTGCTATTTGGTCGTGACGTATGTAATGCGCTGCTGACGGGAATAACTGGTATATTAAACTTTTCCGAAATCTTGAAGAAAGAAGTGCAATAACGTCTTTCCCCTTGATAAAATTCCCCAAACATTCTCTCTGTTCCGGCTTTTAATCCACGATTTTGGGAATCATTGCCTACACAGAATGTATGGCTCTTTGCTGATTGGCTAGTGTCTGGACTTGCACTTCTGGGGTTCTTGCAAACTGTCTAGTATATTCCAATTCCTGACCTAGTCACTGGAGAGAAATTAAATTGAGCAGATGCAATATGTGGCGCCTATTTCCAAAGTTTGGTTTTAACTGGTGCCACCATCGGAAAGTTACGCAGTTACGTGTTGTTTTAAATTGTTTTATTTTAAGGTACACTATAACTTCTCTGCACTCTCTGCACTCTGCTTACTTATCTCCATGAAGATGTCAGTGCTTATGTATCTCCATGAAGACAAGCACATTGCAACGTCACCAGGCCCAGGTACAGAGTGCACATACACAGTGTGGAGAGGTGTAGTTGTTGTATCTTATTACTCGCACTTAGTCCAGTCACTATTATGTTAGAAAACTCAGATTTTAATCAAAGTTTAACACCACACCTTCATGTATTTACATGTATTTTTGGCACTCATCCAATTGTTATGGTCCATTTAAAAATAGGTCACATTATTCACTCCTCAGTTACACCTTTGTGTTCTCTGTGTCTGAGGGCTTAAATCACATAATCTCACCATA